AATCATTTCATCAAGAGAGTGTACAATAGAGTATGGTAGGAGAATGATTTCAATCTTTCAACTTCAAGAATTGACAAGTTGTCATTTTCTGGCACGATACTTTTTAGAGAAGTTGTAGTGCTCATACGTACGCGTAGATGACGATCAGCATCCGTAACTTATTGTAAGCAACTGGATCATTGACTGCAAATAACTCATCGATTTACTAATAATGCCACATAGCTATTAGCCGTGAATTTTCCCTTACCATAATTCGAACTGGTCGACTTATTCCTGTGAACAGCGGTGAACCAATTCACAAAGATCAAAATGGTTGACTACACGGACACGAGGTATCGGTAGGAAGAGGGAGAATACGCCGACGGCTGCGTATTTGAGTGGTTACAATTTTTCGTTTGCAGTCCGTAGCATCTGTCAGTACATGAACTGGAGTACAGTACACTACACTGTACAGTTCTACAGTACTGTACTGTACTGTACTGTACAGTACAGTACATACCATATGACAATATACTGTATACTGTAGCAACTGAAACATGAAACATGGCCTAGTGTACTACTACGCATGTTCTATGCTAGACAATCGATAATATAGCAACTGAAACATGAAACACGGCCTAGTGTACTACTACGCATGTTCATGCTCGACAATCGATAATACAGTATAGCAACTGAAACATGAAACATGACCTAGTGTACTACTACGCATGTTCCATGCCAGACAATCGATAATATAGCAACTGAAACATGACTGAGCCCAAGATAGTCCAGTAGGACGGTGCACAGCGTAGGAGATGTCATATGACACATTCACGTCACTGAATCAATGGCCAATAAAAATGCGGTTAACTTCTGGCTTTTAAAGTTGGAGGCTGCCTATCAGCCCCATATGCCTTTGCGCGTATCATATAATACGAGTCGTAAAAAATAATTCAAGATGGCCGACCTTTCGGTAGGAATAGATGGAGTATACTGCGATATGCCACCTCTAGTCATGACAACTCCTGACGTCCAGTTAGAAACAACTGTAGAAACTCAACCGATGATTCCTTTGCAGACTTTACCTACTGTAGCAGCACAACAAGAAGTGGTTACGGAGAATAGTTGTAGTCAAAATAACAACGACGATGATACTATAGGAGAAATTGATCCTGCTGCTGTGCCGCCACCACAACCTAGCAAAAGAAAGCGAAGAACAGGTTGGATTCATTCGCTTTAATGAATTAGGATAATCTTGAATTTCTTTCAAGACATCATTGTTGAATAGCTTAACTTATTAAGGGAAGCGCCACGTATTCAATTTTGGGGACTTTTTCCCATATTTTGCCTTAACATCAAAATTTCAATGGATTTTTTTAGCACGGGAAACCCACGAGCTAAGTTTTAATACGGATGTAAACTCTCGTAAGTGGGAACAAAAGCCTGTTAAAATCAAAACTTTAGAAGGAGAATTTTCCGTGACTATGTGGGCGTCGGGTAGGTATTACAACTCGATCGCCCACAGCTTATATTGATTTCTGTGATAGATACACCATAGTATAGGTGATTGTACAAGATTCCATGTTTTGTCGTCGTCCATTCGGCTCATTCCTCTCGTATTTTGGTGATATTGAAATTTAAAACTAAAAGATTAATTGTGCTGTTGATAATATTATTTCTGATGCCAGCAGTTGCTACTGTAGTAAATAGTGATACTATGTTAGTGGACGATTTATCGAAAAATTGTACTCTTTGTGTTATAGGATACTGATTGCAAGAGCTTAGCTTTCAAATCTCATTCT